AAACAAACAAACAAACAAAACATCAATTCCACCCACCTGCTTCCCAGTCATGATGGTGCAGTGCCTCATGCTGCCACCAGAGGGCGGCAGAAGCCAGGGAATTGGTGGAACGGCCGCGCTCAGATGTAATTTACTGGCCAGAGATGCAGACACGATTAACATTTATCTGGCGGGTTAAATGTTGGTGGTCATTGGGCTGGGCACGGAAAGCTGGGCACGAAAAGAAATCATACAAAGTTCAGAGGCAGAGATCAGAGGCCAGACCATCCAAGGAATGGAACAAAGCCGAATAAAAGGGACGTTTGTCAGGTCAGACAGGAAACGCCCAAAGACAGCAAGTTTGGAGTGTTGCACCGGACAGCAGTGTGAGGGCTCCGGGCTCCTTCTTGGCCAGGGCAGCTGCGTCGCTGATGGAGAATCAGTCATGGCAAACGGCCAGGATCACTGAGGGTCAGGCAACCTGCACATTTACTTCACCCTGGGCAGAAGTTACTTTGTTATTTACGAGACAGGGTCTCCTTGTGTAGTTCGGGGGCTGGGCTTCATGACCTCCTGCCTCAGCCTCCCCAAGTGCTGGGTGTCCAGCTGTGCGGCACCATTCTCCTGTGCAAATATTAAACATTCTTTTGTTTGTTTTTTTTTTTTGTTTTGTTTTGTTTTGTTTTTCTTCCGGTACCAGGAATCGAACTCACAACCTTGCGCTTGCCAGGCGTGCTTTGCTGCTGAGCTAAATCCCCAGCCCCTATTAAACATTCTTGATGGGTCTCTGCTGGAGTTGGACCAAAGTTCCAGAAGAGACCCTTTCGCAGCGGTGTATGAAGGAGCTGGGTGACAGGGGACACCCCCCACCCCCGGCCCGGAGACACGCAATAAGGGGGGTGATGTTTACAGAGAATCTAAAAACAGTAGTGCCGTGGAGTAAGCTGACAGGACTCATCTGCCGCTGTGTTCTCTTGGCCCAGACTTACTCTGCAGAGCCTCTTTTCCTACCTTTAATAAAACTTTTCCACTCTTGAAAAAGAGAGAGAATGACCTTCTTTTATTTATTATTATTATTATTATTAGTAGTACCAGGAATTGAACTCAGGACCTTGCACTTGCCGGGCAGGCGCTTATGCCACTGAGCTATAACCCTGGCCCCCTTTAGCTTCTTTATTATGGCCACATCCCAGTAATTCCGTACAGCCTGATCAGCGACAAAGTCCTCCTTGTTGGACCGGCCACCCTGGACCCCTGCGCACCCTTCCCAGTCACAGAGGCAGCCGAGGGAGTCACCGGCAACAAACAGCGGGACGTCTTTGTTGATTTCAATGTTTTATTTTTCAAAATATACAATTCATTTACATCTGTATTTCACAAGTGTAGTTTTTTATATTCCAAAATCTTTAAATAGCCCGCAGTAAACAGTACAAATCACAGGATCGGTCAAACTGCCTCACTTCAGCCTTCCCACTCGGTAAGTGTTTAAGTTTCAAGTAGTGGTTTGTGGGTAAGAAGGGGACTAAACCGGGGCGCGATGTCTCTCTTTTCACATAAGCTCCACACACAGGATTAGCAAGGGTGGTCTGGCCGGCTCCTTGGTCTGGGGCCAGGCTAAGGACATCTGCATTGTTTATAAATAAGGCCCTCAGGACAGGGAGGGTGTTGGTTATGGGAAGCGGGGGTCTGGGGTCGGGACGGAGCCAAGGCACAAAGGCTTCCTCGGGGCTGCAGGAGGCACTTGCTGGGAGGTCCTGAGCGGACGCGGTGCCCACCTGTGCCCGGTGGGGAGCAAGAGTCCCCGGGGCTGGGAGGGGCTCCCACCGAAGGAGCGGCATCTGCAGCCTCCCTGGGAGAAATGCTGTGATTCCGGGGCAGGGCGGGGGTGGCTGGGACAGCTGGGGTGTCCCCGAGACAGGTTGGGCTCCCGCCAGCCCCGCTCAGGCTCCTGCCCAGGTCGGTGAGGCTGGCCGGCCGCAAATGGCAGACGGCAGCCGAGGGGCGCGCCGGGGTCTGGGGGTGGCCGTGGGAGGTGTCGGGCTGCCTTGTCTGCGAGAGCCTTTCATTCACCGCAGAGCCACCGGACCTTGGCAGAGCGGAGGAGGGACGACGGGGCCCCACGCATCCCGTCCCGTCGGGGCTGCTGGGGCAGGGCGGGCACAGCCTGGGCCCGAGGGTCAGCTTCCTTCATGCCCCGGGCCGCCGGCCGCGCCCCGAGCAGTCCTGCGGGCGGAGGAGCCGCAGGGACGCAGGGCGCACGGTCCGGCCGCGGAGAGCCCGGCGCCTCCGAGCCGGCGGAGCTGGCGGGGCCGGGCCGAGGGCGGGAAGCGCGGGAGCTCACTGCGCCTTCGGCCGCTGCTCGTCGGGGGTGAGCGTGCGGAACAGGTAATCCCACAGCTTCGTGCTGATGCCGAACCCTAGCGGAGACGGGAAGGGCGCAGTGAGGCGCGGGGACGGGGCTGCGGGCAGCGGCGGGGCGACCTCAGCGTGTGGCTCCGCCGCGCTCCGGCCCCAGCGCGCCCCTGCGTCTGTCCGTCTGTCCGGTGCCCCGCTCGGAGGCCTCCTCTCTCCTCCTGCCGCTTCTCCGTCCGCTGGGGCCACCTCCCTTCCATCCCAGAAGCGCTGCTCTCGGCCCCAACGGGACCAGGCGGCCCCTTCCTGGCCCTTTCTACCTCGGCTCAGTGTGGTGACGGAGTTTTGGGAATGTAGTTCCAGCTACAGAGCAACTGAGTTTCTCATTTCATTGAACTGGAATTAAATTTCAACTAAAAACAGATACTTGATTCCATTACCGAGAAAGCTAAAAGCTAGAGAAAATGTGAAATACAGAATCTGGATACAGATCAACCATTTCCAGTGGGAACCGGGCATCTGGATTGAGATGCGCTGCCAGTGCAAAATAAACCTTGGGTTTTGCAGACTTGGTATAAGAGGGAAAAACGTCATGTAGCCCATGAAGCGTTTGTATGTGGTTATACGTTGAAATGATAATAGTTTGGTTACACTGGGTTAAATATTTCATTAACTTTGTTCATCTTTTTAGTTTTTATTTATTGTTTTTGTTTTTTGACTTTCTGAGACAGGGTCTCCCTACGCAGTTCAGGCTTGCCCTGAGCTCACTTTGTAGCCCAGGTTGGTCTTGAGCTCGCACTGATCCTCCTGCTTCAGCCTCCAAGTGCTGTGATTACAGGCGTGGGCCACCATACCTTGCCTAGTATCTACGTACGTATGTATTTGCAGTTCTGGGAATTGAACCCAGACTCTGCACTGAGCAATATCCCCAGACCCTTTTGAAAATTTGTTTTGCAGTACGGGGAAAGAACTCAGGGCCTTTGGACTGAGCTCTTTGCCCAAACTTTCTCATTTTGGAACTTTAGATGGCCCTGGCTGGACTCAAACTTGTGATTCTCCTGGCATAGTCGTACACCAGGTCCAGCTCAGTCCTGGGGATGGAGCCCTGGGCCGTGCATGTACTGAGCAAATGCTCTACCAGAGCCACACTCCCAGTGCTTTATATGCACTTTTTTTGGTACTGGGAATTGAACTCAGGACCTTGCGCTTGCTAAGCAGGCGCTTGTGCCACTGAGCTATATCCCCCACTGTATGCATTTTTATTTTATTTAATTAATTTGCTTTTGTGGTGCTCTTGATAGAACCCAGGGTGAGCTACATCTCCAGCTGTTTTTTATTTTGAGACAGAGTCTCAGTCACTAAGTTGCCCAGGCTGGGCTTGAACTTGCGATTCTCCTGCCTTAGCCTCACCAGTATCTGAGATGACAGGCGTGCATCCCTATGCCCAGCTTTATTTTTACTTTTTAACGTGGCTACTAGAAAGTTTCAAAGTGCATACGTAAGCCACGTAATATTTTGCTGGACAGCGCCGTACTCCTTATTCTACCTAATGGTTCTTCAAATCCCACCTCACTTTATTTATTTTTAATAAATAAATATCTTTCAGGCACTTATCATTGCCTGAAATGATCTCTGCCGTTTATTGACTTCCTTGTTTATCTCTGCGCAGTTGTGGGAGACAGCGGGGAGAGCGGGTGGGACCCTCCGTGGGAGCTGGCTCTTGGGCGGGGAGGCGGGGCCGTGGGGCCATCCTCACCTGACTGCTGGTAGGCGAAGTGATGCTTCACGTGGTGGGCCTTCATGCCGTACAGGTAGGAGCCCTTGTGTGGCGAGCCGAAGTGCAGATAGTAGTGGATCATGTCGTAGAGGACGTAGCCCAGGAGGCCCCCTGCGAACATAGCTCCCCCCACCGCCTCAGGCAGGATGAGCCGGATCAACAGGTAGAAGAAGCCGATTATCAGAGAGGCCGGCACGGGCGGGAAGACCAGTCGGGAGCCGTCGAAGGGTGCCTGTGGGTGCAGAGGCCGGGGTCAGAGGTGGCCCTGTGGTCACTCCACTGGAGGATGGGTTGAGGCGGCCAGACTTCTGCTTGAGGGACATCTGGCTTTGGGGCAATCTGCTGCAGAGCACAGGGCTGGGTACGACGTGGGCAGGAAGGTGTGAGGGCCTTGCTCCTGCCAGAGGGGGTGCAGGAGCCCCTGTGAGAAAAGCCTTTAAAGGAGTGTGGAGAGTGACCATGAGGTGTAGCATCTTCCAGCTTCTGTGGTGTAAATACTCCCACTATGGCCTATCTCCAGCTGTTTACGGGATGTCACAGGGCATGGGGCTAGGAAGGGCCATACAAAACTTTTCTCAAGAGTCTGCCTGAATCAGCTCCAGGTTATGGCTGGATTAAGGCTCCCAGATGTTTCCAGCAGTCAGGAGGCTGAGGCAGGAGGATCAATGAGTTCGAGGCCAGCCGGAGGTACCTAGTAAGACCTTGTCTCAAAAAAACCAACCGCTCCCAAAAAAACAACCCTGAAAACCACCATAACAAAATGCTCCCGGACAGGTAGGACTGGAGACCTGAGGAGAGGTTGCTACTTGGAGCCTAGGCCACATGAGCTCATGTCCTCCTGGGGTATCAGCAAGGGACCAGACATATTGTGCAGTGTCTGTAAACAGGGAGATTGCTCTCCCCGGGATGGGAAAGGGGGCAAGCAGAGTGCGGCAGACTTGAGAGGACACCGGGAGGAGACAAGGGACGGGGCTGTGGATGCAACAGGCCCTTGGGTCACAGTAGTACTTGAGAGGCAGGTTGGCCCAGGACACCCTCCCTGACACCAGCTACTATACAGGGCTCTGGGAAGTAGGTCTGCTCTGGGGACAGCAAGAAGGCACCACCCTGCCCAGCCTGAGGTGCTCCAAGAAAATCCTGATCGTGGCTGAGCTCATGGGGACCCACTGGCCTGAGTAATGGGTCTGGTATCTGCAGTGTGAGGGTCTTCAATTTTTGTTTTTTCTACATCATACAAAGTATGATTGAAAAATATGGTTGTTTTTGAGACAGGGTCTCCCAGTGTAGTTTAGGCTGAGCTTGAGCTCACTATGTAGCCTAGGCTGGCCCCGAACTCTTGGCAATCCTCTTGCTCAGCCTTCTGAGTGCTGGGATGACAGGTGTGCACTACCACACCTGGCTGAAAAATATGTTGAGTGTTCAAATTATTAAAAAATTGCCGGGCGTGGTGGCGCATGCCTGTCATCCCAGCGCTCGGGAGGCTGAGGCAGGATGATTGCCATGAGTTTGAGGCCAGCCTGGGCTACCTAGTGAGTTCAAGTTCAGCCCAAACTGCATACGAGACCCTGTCTCAAAAAACAAAACAAAACAAAAAATTTATCCCAGTAGGGGCGGGGGAAACAGCTCAACAGTATAGCATCTGCCTGGCAAGCACAAGGTCCTGAGTTAGATTCCCAGTACCAAAAAAAAAATTATCCCAGTAAAAGACATATTGCAAAAAAAACAAAAAAAAAACAAAAAACCCACAAAACATATTGCCATAATCCCCCTCCAAACACTGCCCCCTGCTTTGAACACACCTTTCCCCTCCTTCTTGCCATTTTCTTTCTTTCTTTTTTTTTTGTTTTTCTCCGGTACCGGGAACCGAACTCATGACCTTGTGCTTGCCAGGCAGGTGCTTTTGCTGCTAAATCCCCAGCCCCTTTTTTGTCTTTTGGAGACAGGGTTTCACTATGCAGTTCAGGCTGGTCTTGAACTCAGTCTGTAGCCCAGGCTGGCCTCGAGCTCACAGGGACCTTCCAGCCTCAGCCTCCTGAGTGCTGGGATTACAGGCGTCAGCCACCATGCCTGGCTCTTGCCACTTTCTGAAGCAGTTCTAGTTCTCTTTTATTGTGCTGTTGTGGCTGCCCTGATGTCCTGATTCAAAACATTGACCTTTCATGGCCATTTTTGTTTTTGTCTTTTTGAGACAGGGTCTCGCTATGCTGTTCAGGTTGGCCTTGAGCTCACTTTGTAGCCCGGGCTGGTCTCGAACTCACAGTGATCCTCCTGCCTCAGCCTTCCGAGTGCTGGGATTACAGGCGTGCACCACCACGCCTGGCGTTTTTTTTTCTTTTTTTTTTCTTTCATGGTCATTTTGACTTTGGGGAAGAACCAGAAGTTGCAGGGCGCCAGATCCATCAGCCAAGGTGGACGCAGACGCACAGCAATGTTTTACGGGCCTGGCTTTCTATTCCATGGCACTCGGCTGCAGCATGCACAGTGCTTTCGACTGCAGCTCATAAAGACTCTCACGAAAGAAGACTCCAGAACTGCTTCAGAAAGTGCCCAGAATGATGGGATTAATGTTTCTGAAGTGAGAGGGAGGATTTGATTCTGGGTAATGTGTCCTTTATTGTAAAAAAAAAAGAAAATGAAATTCACCATATATTTTGGTCACCACTTGTATCAACTACATTTTCTGATTTATACCCTGGAGGGATCATAGTGTGGGGGAAAGAGACTCAATTTTGAGGAGACAGAATAAATGCTCAGGAAAGTCCAGGGCATGGTAGCTCAGTGGGGGTCACTGTGGCATGAGCCCAGGACAGCACAGTATACAGGGACCGAGAGGTCTCCAGGGAGTGTAGCCTCCCTGGGCCAGACTTGGCTTCGTCCCAGCTTCTGGGACTGTCACCAGTCCTTGAATAAATAGCTCTGGGCAATGGGTAGCTGGAAGCATAGACTCTGGAGGCCACAGAATAGGGCACAATATTCCAGCTGTGCCAGCTGTGACCTTGCGGAGGGTGTCCTTGCTTCCTTAACTTCCCCAAGCCTCAGTTTCCTGTTCTGTGGAATGGGAACACTGAAATTCCATGAGGGCAAGGATTTTGTTTGTTTCTTTAGTGTTTTGTTTGTTTGAGTCAGGATCTTGCTGTGTAGGTCAGGCTGACCTTGAACTCAGTCTGTAGTCCAGGCTGGCCTCAAACTTGCAGTGATCCTCCTGCCTTACCTCCTGGATGCTGGGATCACAGCTGTGTGCCACCACGCCCTGCTAATTTTGTCTGTTTTGTTCAGTGATGTCTAGCACATAGCAGGCACTCAGGAACTTCGCTTTGCGGAACGAACGGATGAAGGAGTAACCGAGCTGCAGTGCGGGTGAAAGAAGGCGCTCGCAGGCGCAGGCAGAGCCCTGGGGTTAGCAAAGGCGCATGCGCACACTGCTCTGTCTCTACCTGGCTCAGATCAGGACGCCCGACCCAGTGCCCGCTTCATGCGATGTCAAGCACCCTTGGTTCCCCATCATTTCCAACCGCCGCGGGACTCCCGGGGAGCCCTGCGGCCCTCAGAGCGGGGCACAGTCGCAGGTCCCGAGCCGGATCCCGCCCCGCTCACCTTGTGGTGCTGGCCGTGCAGCGCGAAGTGCAGCATGATGAGGTAGTAGCTGTCGCCGGAGGGCTTCATGTGGAAGAGGAAGCGGTGGATGAGGTATTCGAGGAGGCTCCAGAGAAACATCCCCAGCAGGAAGAGGCCGGGGAACACGGACTCACGCACCACCACCGAGTACTCTGTGGAGAGCAGGGCCGCGCGGTCAGGAGAGGCCTGGGGGCTCGGGTGTCCCCACCGCGCGTCACCCCAGGCAGGCCGGGAGCTGACGCCCTTGTCCGGGTGCCACGGGGCCAGGCCAGGGCAGTAGGAGGCACAGCAGTGGCCGGATGCCAGGCCCCGCCCTGAGGGGTGACCTTGCTGCAGCAAGGGGACAGTCCCAACAAAGCCAGAGACGCAGTGGGCTACTGAGGGCTACTGCAGCAGTCTGAGCAGGAGGGGCAGGAAACCCAAGCGCGGGCATCGCAGAGGATGAGCCTCTCAGAGACGGACAGGGCTGCAGATCGGGCTAACCAAGCAGCACCCTGGGGGAGACGGAGGCGGACGGATGCAACTTCTTCAAGTGAAGGTGACTGAGGGCCACCCCCTGATGACGACCTGCAGTGATCCTCTCGTTTCTCTACTTCCTTTTCTTTTCTTTTCTTTCTTTTTAGGCTTTTTGAGCTGATCTGAACTCGCTTTGTAGTTCAGACTGGCCTGGAGCATGTAGGCCAGGCTGGCCTTGAACTCACAGCGACTCTTCTGCCTCAGCCTCCTGAGTGCTGGGATTACAGGCGTGCGCTACTATAACCAGCTTCAGATTTTAATTCTTGTACCACACAACTCACGATTCAGTGGTTCTTATTGTCTCCTGAGCTGTGCACCAGTGCAGTCAGCTGTCTGACCAGATGTCCCTTCCCCAGCTCCATCCTGGACGCTGCCTCTGTCCCTGGGGAGGAAGCCTCAGGCTTCCACGCTCTGACTCCAGCCGTGCCCCATATGCTGTCGAATCCCAGCGCTACATTCCAGCCCAGCCCCGGGGGCAGCGTGCTCCTGGCAGTCTGCTCCCGGGGACCCACAGCACTCAGCCCCGAACTGACACAGAACTGATGCGGGGCCCAGTGAAGCCAATCCCTTTCCTCCTCCCTCCCGGCCTTTCACTCCTGCCCCTCCGGGTTGGTCCCCCGGCCCCCCTCTGTGAGAGTTCCCCCACATACACACAGACCAGAAGAGCTGGGCTCAGGTCACCCCTACTCCACGACCACAGCCGTCAGCTCTGGCAGTTTCACCCGCTCACGATCTGGCAAAGTGAAAGAAGCCAGGGGTGCCCAACCCATTCATATGAAAGGTCTAGAATCTGAAAATTCAGAGATGCAAAGCAGAGCAGTGGCTGCCAGGGGCCGTGGGGCAGCGGGAAGTAGGGAGCAACTGCTCTGCAGGCGCTGGGGCTCCTTCTGGGGTGACACTTGGGAATGAGGCAGAGGAGGTGTTTTGCCGCACAACCTTGGGGACGTACGAAGGGTGCCGAGTCGTTCCCTTCACAGTGCTTATTTCTGCTGGGTCCACGCGGTGGGGCACACCGGTGACCTCAGCACTCTGGGAGGTGAAGGCAGGAGGGTCTGCCTTGGGTACCAGGTGCTGGCACGGCAGCACAACCCGCTTTCATTGTGCATGCAAGATTATATGGTGAGAGTAAGATCTAGTTAGATGTGAATATTTCCAGAAGGCCTCCTCTTCCCCACCTCTTCTTTCTTACGTTTCTGTTTTTGTATTTTTTTGGACACAAGGTCTTGTTATATAGTTCAGGCTGGCCCTGAATTCGCTATGCAGCCCAGGCTGGCCCCGAACTAGTGCCGATCCTCCTGCCTCGGCCTCCCTGGTGGCAGGACTCCAAGCGTGGGCCTGTGTCCTCCTCCCTCTCAAGGCACGCTCTTACAAGCATCTAGGAATTTCAGCCTTGGCCCGGGTCTCCCTTTGCCTTGCATCGCTTGCTATCACCCCAGCTCTTCAGCATTTACTCCACTTTGCGCAGCAGCTGCAGCGGGACTCCGCGCAGGGTCCCCTCGGCTCACTCTGTGGGCTTGGCACCCACTCTGGTGATGAGCTGCGGAGAGGCTGGCATCACCAACCCTCCTCCGGCGCGCGACCCCTCATTGCACAGGCGCAGGGGAGCGGGCAAGGCGGCGCCCCGGGGCCCTCCAATCACCTCCCGCCGTGCAGGAAAGCCCCCTCCTATAGGTCAAGCCTCTGCCCGCCCCCTCACCCCAGCCTCACCCCGCGCCCAGCCGGCCGGAGCTGGTACTGAGTGGCATCTCGGGAGGAATCCGGCAGAGGGACCTGGGCCAAAGCTTGAGCTTCCCCTTCCCCCTCCGGCCGCAAGCCCCGCGGCGCTGCCGCTGTTGGCGATTGTCAGGGCCACGCGCGGACAGTGGGCGATTCAGTGAGGGCCTCCCAGCCCCGCCCTGGCTGTGCCAGAGCCCTTCAGCTTGGGCAGAGGGGAACCTCGGCTCCAGGGCGTGCCCGGAGCAGCGCCGGGCTGGGAGGTTCCTGCAACTCCCACCTGGTCCCAGCCCTGGGACAGGTGAGGCTGCAATGCTTTAGCTGTGGCCCCCTCTTTTTTTGGGGGGCTGGTGCTAGGCAAGCATTCTACCATTGAGCCACACCCACAGCCCCCTTTTAAAAATATAAAATCCCGAGACAGGGTCCGGCTAAGTCTCCCGGGCTGGGCTCCAACTTGTGATACTCCTGCCTCAGCCTCCCTAGTATCTGAGGTTACAGACACTTTCACCTGCTGCATTTGGGGCCCTGGCTTGCTGTTGGGGGGGGGTGGGCAGGGGAGGAGCCTGGGTGCAGGGAAAGGGGTCTGAACATGTGGGCTCCCTGGGGGAAATGTGGGTGATCAGGAGAGGGAGGCCACCGCCAGCTGTGGTCCCTGAGCAGGTGGCACAGACCTGAGGCTCAGGGTAGGGGTGAGTGAGTGGGAAGGTTGGCAGAGCGGCCACATGGAGAGCTGCAGTCCTTTAGGCCCTTTGGACAGTGCCCTGTGTCAGCCCCTCTCTCTGTCCCTGGACCTACTAGAAGCTGGGGGGGCACCTGGTCTCTACATCTTAGGCCACATGACTTTGAAATCACTTGCTAGGCATCCCTGAGGCTCCATTCCTCACTGTTTTTATTTATTTTTAAAGTTGATAGATAAACTGGATGTGGTGCCTCATTCCTGCAATCCCAGCTACTTGGGAGGCTGAGCCTGCAGGATTGCAAGTTGGAGGCCAGCCAGAGCAATTTACCAACTCAGGGACACCTTATGTCAAAATAGAAAATAAAAAGGACAGGGTGTGATGGTGCATGCCTATAATTCCCCACACTCTGGGAGGCTGAGGCAGGAGGATCACAAGTTCAAGCTAAGCCTGGATAACTTAGTGACTGGGTGAGACCCTATCTCAAAATAAAAAGTAATAAGGGGCTGGGGATGTAGCTTAACTCAGCCCTGGGTTCAGTCCCAGTAAAACACACACACACACACACACACACACACACACACATGCATACACACAGCGGATAAGATTGCAGGTATTTACTGTGTGCTCCAAGGGGAAATGATAAAAAAAAAAAAAAACCTTCAATGGGGTGCTGGGAGGGTTCCACGAGCTGACCCCTGGGATGCACACGGAGTGGCCCCCTAGCTTGGGCGCACTCTGGGACTGCCCCCCTGTTCTCTCCAGGTTCTCTGCTGTGCTGTGCATTGTCGGACCAGTCTGAGCCCAGCTCTCGGCGGTGCCACCTGATAAAGCGACCTCACCGTGCCCCTTTGTTCTTCTCCCCTTCTCCGTATCTTCCTGTGCTGGGGAAGGAACCCTGGCCTCATGCACGCTGGGCAAGTAAGTGCTTTATACCCGGTCCTCAGTGAGTCTCCTGACAAAGAAGCCCAGGTCCCACCTTTTCTGATAGAGCCTTGTAAGAAGCGCCATCCTATTGCCCTTTTGGGTGGCTGGGGTTTGTACCCACTTGGGGTAGGGTGGGAGCCTGACAGAATTTTTCCGTACACAGGCTCACTTAGAAGCGTATATGTTTGAGACGGGGTCTTGCTCTGTAGCCCAGGCTCGTCCTTCAAGTGATCATCACAGTGATCCTCCTGCCTCAGCCTCCCAAGTGCTGGGATTATGGGTGTGGCCACCGAACCTGACTTCCTTAGAAGTGTTTGCAATGTGGCCTGGGGGTCCTGCGCTCTTAGAAATCCAGGACCGGGGCAAACATGGGTCTCCTGCCTCCAGGCTGGCTCCCTGGAAGGGGTTTAGGAAAGAACCTGGCGTTACCTGATGTGAACGATTTGAAGAGCCGGACGTTGCCCTGGGCGAGGGTTCCGTAGTAGGACCAGCTCAGGTACAGCACCAGGGGCACCCAGATGATGGGGACACTGTACCTGCGGGAGCCACCAAGGCGAGAGAGAGGAATGGACATGGCCTGGCTTGCCTAGGGGCGCACGTTTCAGCGAGGGAGGGGCGAAATGGAGTGACACCAGAGCAGGTGCAGAAGTACGAAGCATCCCAGGGTCAAAGTGGCACTGGTGTGGGGCAGTGGGCAAGGGAAAGGACAGTCCCTCTGGCCCTGCCTGAGATGGATCACTGGCGGGAACCACAGGGCGTCTGTGCAGCTGGGTAGACACTGCCCTCTTGTGGCTGAGGAGCTAATTGAAGGAAAATTGTTTCCATGAGTATTAGAGGCTGCTAAGCTCACAGGGGAGTCGAGGGGAGGGGTGGCTGCACGTTGGGTTGTCGCCCTCTCGCAGAGAAAATCATGCACAATAAAGGGTCACCCCGATGGCACGTCCCGCCCTCCCTGAGAACCCCCAGGCTCCATCAGGAGACAGGGACAGCCCAGGCCAGGCTTCAGGACTCACCAGGCTGTCTTGGACAGGGCCTCCACGAAGTCGGAGTGGAAGAGGCGGATGGGTCTGCTCACCGGCTGGTGGACCCACTCGTCGTACTTCTCCCCCAGCTGGCCCACCTGCCACAGCAGGGGCTTCTTCCAGTCCACCAGGTCCTGCAGGGAACAGGGTAGCCCCTGATATTCGTGCCTCCCCAAGTCCCGTCCCCCAGCTCGTGCAGTCTGTGTGAGCGAGCGCCACCTTCCTCCCTTGGGGATGACCCCAGTCCTCGTCAGGGTCTCTGGCTACGGCCTGCCTGAGGGCTCAGCCAGCACCAGGGAGGCCAGAGCCCTGGGGAATTAGAAGCCTGGGGTGATGGGCCTTCTTGGTGTTGGCCTGGTAATTCATTCATCTATTCAGTCATTCATTCATTCAGAAATTTGCTTAACATTGTGTGCGTGTGCTGGTCTATAAATGTGTCTGCACGCAGGTGCGTGGCAGAGGCTGGAAAGAATCATCAGGGGTGTGAAAGGTCATCTTTGGTTCATGCAGCTTAGTGCTCTGTCCGAGTGCAGACTCTGGCATCAGTCCAGCCACACATCCTGGCTGTACCGATCACTGTGACCTTGGGAAAATTACGTGACCTTTCTGAGCCTGTTTCCCCAGCTATAAAATAAAAATAATGGTAACGGTATCTGCCTTAAGTGCTCGGCAAGATGAACCATGCCACGAGTGACAGTTTAGTGGTGACACAAGGCAGGATGACTGGTACCCAGTGCAGGTGTGAGGTGGGCGAGAAGGGCTTTGCAGATGATCTGTGATTTGTTCACATCATATAAAAGATTTGGCAAGGGGAGGGGAAGGGACAGAGGGAGCAGGCACAGATGGAGTTGAGAATGATTGTGGTCTATTTGGTAGTTTTTTTTTTTTTTTTTAAAGATATGGACTTACTATGTAGCACAGGCTGGCTTTGAACTCACTATGTAGCCCAGGCTGGCCTTGAACTTGCAGTGATCCTCCTGCCTCAGCCTCCCAAGTGCTCGGATTACAGGCGTGTGCCACCATGTCTGACTTCTATTTGGAACCTTGTCACTGTTCTGTGGATGGTAGGAGGGATCTGCCAGGCTTTAGACAATGAACACTTTGTACCAGGTCCAGAGCTGGGGCTGCACCCTCCAAGCCAGCTGGCCCCAAAGCAGGATGTACACAGAACCCAGGGGCACTCAAGCTCACCCCAGAGGTGGGGAGGAAACAGGAGAGATCTTATCTCTGTCTGGGACATATTTGTCTCATCTTTGAACCGTATCTCTGTGTGTGCACAGAATACATGAGTACATTTTCACCTGCACTTGATTGATTAAAATGGACACAGAGAATGTCCTCAGGGAGGTTAACTCTTAGGGATGCAGATCGAAAAATTCTGGAGGGTGCACCTTTAGGCCGTGGGAAACCCGCGAAGATGTCTGGTGACTCAGTGCCCTGACACAGATTACAAATCAAGAACAACAAACTTGGAGCCAGAGAATGCTTCAAAGCCCAGATCTGCTGTTCGTCTTGGGCAAACATCTTTCCTTCTTGGGGGCCCAACCCAGCATCCCACCTGGAGTGCGGCTGAGGCGTGGTGCAGGGTAGGCGCCTGGTCAGGCTCCAGGACAGGAGCTGGGACTGAAGGAGGGTTAGCACAGGCAAGGAGAGCCAGGCGTGCAAGAGCTGTAGGTGGTGGAGAGCACACAGGCCCCAGAGCGCCTCCCGGGGGTCCTGCAAGCTGCCTTGTCCTCCTGTGGCTCCGCCCCGCAGGTCTCCCAGCCCCTCCGGAAGTGGAGTGGTGCCACCATCACAGCTTGGGGCAGAGTGTGGGGTCCTGACCAAGCAAGCGAGGCCTCAGGTACTGTTGCTGCCCCGGGATGGAGGGAGGGTCCCCAAGAAGGTAGTGGCTCCTGCCAGGCCCGCTGGCAGGTCCCAGGTGCTGGCTACCTTCGGCTGAGGGGCTACTTTCTGCTTCTCAAGCTGGAAGGTGACCCAGGGGAGCCTGGAGCTTCTCACCCAGCATCAGCATAACTGACCCGGGTGCGGCTCCGTTTCTGACCCTGACACTCCTGACTCAGCCCCTGGTCTCAGGGCAGATGGATTCCTCGAGCCTGCTCTCCCCACCTTGGGTCTCCCAACTCAAACTCCTGCATACCCCGCAGCTGCCATTGCCAGGGAAAAGCAGTGGAGGGACCAGCTCGAGGACTGTGTCTGCACCTTAACTGGAAGCACAGCGCCCCGCAAAGCCTGCCTCGGGAGCTGGCCCAGGTTCATGGGAGAGGGTGCAGCTCCATCCTGGCTGCAGTGCCTCAGGAACCCCACACTCACGGGGCGTTTGCAAGGGGCCCTGAGTGGCTCTGGGCATTTGAGGCGGATGAAATCATTCACTCCTTGCCATTCCACAACTAGGCAAGTGACATACACACTTACTGTCAGTTCATAGATCTGCCCCGCTGCTCACAGATGTGAATGCTTGCATAGTTTTCTATGCTTTCATGCTGTGTATATCCTGATAGTGCAGCCCTCTCTCTTTTTTTGTTTTTATTGAGACACGGTATCACTACGTAGTTTAGGTTGGTCTTGAACTCATGTGTAGCTCAGGCTTGCCTCGGACTTGCAACAATCTTTCTGCTTTATCCTCCGGAATGCTGGGATTACAGCTGTGCACCACCCTATCCATCTGTAGTTCATCTCTTACATACAGCATACAGTTGGTCTTCATTTTCTTTTTAAAAATGTAATTATTCCAGTTTACTTCTTGTGCTTTATAAAAGTAACATATTTGTAGCACATATGGGTCTTGGTTTTCTCTCTAATCAATCCCTGCCTTTTAATTGCAGTGTTTAGGCTATTTACATTTAATGTTGAAATTGGTCTATCTTCTTGCAGTTTCCTGTTTTCTGTTCTTCCTTTGTCTTGTTTGCATTGCCTAAAAATATTCTATATTAAAAATATTCTATATTATATCCTCTATTGATGTTTCACTTTTTTTTTTTTTGTCTGTTTGAAACAGGGTTTCACTATGCTGTTCAAGCTGACCTTGAACTCACTTTGTAGCACAGGCTAATCTCAAACTCACAGCAATCCTCCTGCCTCAGCCTCCTGAGTGCTGGGATTACAGGCATGCACCACACCTGGCCCTTTTTTATATTTTATATGTTGTACTTTTGCATGTCACGCGTGACACCCTGTGACTGCATTTCATTTGTGCACTTCTGTTACAAGTTGATACACTGTGTCAACTTGAGGAGTCTAGAGGCTTGGTTAAGTGACTCAGCAGTTCTACATCCTGGGGTGAAAGGGACATGCCCTTACCTCTGATGTTGTTCATTGTGTTGATTTGAGAAGTTTTAAGGTTAACTAAGTGACTTAACAGGGGGCCAGGATCCTTTGTATTCATCCTGAGCCTGTGCAAGAGGAGGGCATGGAGATTCTGTGAGTACTACATGCACCCTGGGTGGGGTAGCCTGCTTAGACTGTAAGGGAGGGAAAGAGGCTTGTCCCCTGCCCCTTTTTGCTCTTGCTGCTTTTGCTGTTTTGTGCCGCCTTGAAATGTTGCCCCTGTGCCCTGCCACCCCGCCTTGGAGCCAGCTGATTATAGACTGAAACCTCCACAAACTGTGAGCTAAACAAACCTTTCCTTCCTTAATTCTGGGCGTCTGGTGTTTTGTCTCAGCAATGAGAGAAAAGTAACCAAGACAACCTGATTTGGTCTTAGCTACCTTAGGCAGCAAACATTTCTATCGACAGCTCAGAGATGTGGCCAGGTGGGCCTCTCTCTCCACCTAGCAGTGGTCTTGGGCAAATTCTCAGCTGTTGATTCCTTTTGCCCTCATTTTGTAGAGCAAGCAGTCAGCAGCATAGGGTTCATTAGTTTAATTCAGCTGAGCGCCAGGAAGAGATGTCAAGCAGGCACTCCAGCCTGAATCTCACGCCTTATTATGGACCTAGAGTGAGTGGGGGAGGCTGGAGCTGAGTGGGGGAGTGCAGTCTACAGGTGCAGTAGGGACAGAGCCCCCAACACGGGTCTGTTGTGTGACCTTTGGGTGTGATGTCAGTGACTCCCTGGTTAGACCATGGCCATCCTCACCCTAACAAACCCTCCTTTTACAGCTGCAGAACCTGGCGCTCAGAGAGGGCAAGTGGGGCATTCAGGGTCACCCAGCTGGAGCAGGGCTGCGTGGAGGAGAGTGCGGATATGCTCAGAAACTGCTCTGCTGTGGGCGCTTTTTAGGGGCGGGGGTGGTGTCCTCTGGTGATTCAGACCTGAGCAACAGGCTGGGCTCCAGGAAGCCAACGCAAGATGGGATGTGTTTAGCCCAAGCACCCTGGCCCCTCCCCCAAGTCTACACCCCCACCCCACCTCCCGCTATGCCAGGAATGTAGCTGGCAGGCACTAGCAAGGGGAAAGGGCACCCTGCTTTCCTGGGTGGGCGGAGGGCCTGCTGCCAGGGTGGGACGGGGCCACCCTCTGCGTTCCCTTGCCTCCCCAGGTCCTCCTCCCTGGGGCAGCTCTGGGACCAAGTGGCACAGGACAGAGCCCTGGGCAGCCTGAGTTCAGGAGCAGCGTTTCTCCCCAGGGGGCCAAGGGTGGGGACAGGGGCACTGCCTGGTGTGAGCAGCTCCTCCCACTGCCACAGCCTAAGCTAAGGCAATTCCTGAAGCCAGCAGCTACCCAAAGCCCGGAGCGCATGGTCCCCAGCAGCTTCTGAGCCTGTACAGAAGATGGGCAGCAGCCCCCAGGTGGGGGAGAGAGAGCCAGCAGGCGCCCCAAGAATCCCAGCTACAGCTCCTGCTTCCCGCACTCTGCTCCCCTGTCCTAAGCTTTAGTTCAGAGACACTGCAACTTCCACCACCTCATCTTACAAATGAGGGTCGGATGCTTGGCCTCCCTTGCTTCGATTCAGGACTGGAGCCAGGAGATCTCAGACCAGCTGAGTCAGCCCTGCACCTCGGATCCCTCCGCGCAGGGCCTCAGGGACCCTGGTTCAGGGTCTGTGCCGCTGGGACGTGGAGGAGGGGCTCTGGCGGTCTTCAGGGGATGCTGTAGGCCTGTCCCGCATGGTCCAGCTGGGAAAACCCTAAGTCCAGAGGGGCAGTTCTGGGCCACCTGCCTCCTGCCCTGGTGACTTGGTGGCTGCAGAGGTGGCAGGGAGCCCAGAGGTGAGCTGTGCCAGCCACCACAGCCTTGAACTCCATCCTTCCCTGGAGGCAAGTTTGCCTGAAGGGCTCGGTTCTGATCCAGGTGCCACTGTCCTGAGCTTCCAGTGACTAATCTGAGGACCCCCCAAGGGTTAAACCCACAGGGCCAATATCAACACATTGGCCAGGCCCTGGGGACACCTGGAGCAACCCCTGATGTCAAGGGCTGTGAGCGCAGCGCTGGGCAGGGGCAGAGACCAGGAGCGGGGAGCTGAGGAAGCCTTTTGTCTGGAGCCCTGCCTGGCCAGATGATTCTCCCAGTCCCCAGGGAAGAGGAACAGGAAGGAGAGGGCGGGGCAGGTGCCACGGGCTGGGCTGCTAACCTGCTGCTAACTTGCCTCCAGGTGGCTTTGGCAGAGACTTAACTGCTTCCTTGTTAATTAAATCTGGATAAGGATAATCCTCGTTTCTTCAAATGCATTTCAAACACTTGGCTCTTGTTCCGGTAAGGACTCAACGAAGAAGCATTAATTCCGTGCTAAATGTGCTGCCTGGGGCAATCTGGGCTGGAACCCGGGAAAACCCTTCACATCCCACTTCTTTGTCGAGGTTCCAGGGAGATGGGTGCCCCAAGTGGGAAGGGTGGAGAGGGTGCCACGGGAGGGTGCCCACAAGAAGGCAGTGAAGCAGCTGAAAGAGGCAGAAGGGCAGTGGAGCAGGAAGATGAAGAGCCTGAGGACAGCCTGGGCAATTTAGCCAGACCCGGCCTCAAAATGTAGTTCAGTAGGTTCAATCCCTAGCGCAGAGAGACAGACAGACAGACAGAGACAGAGACAGATAGAGAACAAGCGCTGGGACGGATGTGCCAGAGGGTTTCAGAAAGCAGTGAGATTTGTGCAACCTGATTCTTGTCCCCGAGGGTCCCACCCCGCGGGGTGAGGGAAGAGGTGGTGTAGAAGTGGTTCTGGTAAAATTCCACAAGCCTGGCCGGCGGACGGCATCTGGGCTCTGAGCGGGGGTGGGGTGGGGGGCGCCCCGTGTGCTTCTCCTCTCTGCCGCCCTGCCCGGTGCACCCCACACTCCTCTCTCTGCCCAGCACAGCCCCTCCGACTCCCAGCTTCTAGGCCCAGAGGCACCGGCAGGCTCCGCTGTGGCTCTCCTGGCCCCTCTCTTCCCGCCAGGGGGCCTCGGGCTGACCATCTGACCAAAGGAGACAGGAGTGGGACTTTGTTTTGGGGAAAGGAAAGGAAATAGAAGGGAGGGGAAGGAGAAGCTCAGCTCTCTGCTGCCTTCCTCAGGCCCTGGCCTGGGGACACAGGAAGAAGGGGCGGCGGGGAGGAAGTGTGTGTGACAGAAAGTACGTCGGGGTGGGAGGTGAGGCGGGGTGGGAGGTGAGGCGGGGTCTGCAGCCTGGGGTGACAGCCAGGAGCCAGGCCGTGGGGGGGGGTGGGGCGTCCCCCTCTGAGCACAGGTGGAGCTGAAAGAGTCTGGGGGACCTGATCCCCTGCCTCCTGCAGAGACAGGCGGAGGGTGTCAGCCAGGCTCAGGGAGGAATCTCCCCCAGAGCAGGTGGCGATGGGAGGGGGGGGCTGCTGTCCCCAGCCAGGCTTGGACCCCAGCCCCTCCATGCCGGGATGGATTTTTCCTGCCAGTCTGCCCCTGTGGCTGCCACTCTGATACAGCCCTGGGTAGCTCTCTCTTCCTAGTATTTTCTTTCCTTTCTTTTTGAGACAGGGTCTTGCTGTGTAGTCCAGGCTGGACTTGAACTCACTACGTAGCACAGGCTGGCCTCAAACTCATGGCAATCCTCCTGCCTCAGCCTCCTGAGTGCTGGGATTACAGGTGTGTGCCACCACTCCCTGGCTTCTTTCCAGTCCTCAAGCCCTAAGCCATGGCCGCAGGTGCTGGCCTCAGAGACTGCTCTGCAGCTCCTGCTAGTACTTTCTACCCACGGCTGCAGTGGCCTCCTGGCCCTGCGCTCATTCCCAGGGCCGCCCCCACTCCCCTCTGGAGCCTTTCCTGCTTCGGCGCAAGGTCCCCGCCCCACCTGCTCCCTTCCCTCAAGGTGGTTTATCCTGCCATATGCAAAGCAAACGCAAATCCCCCAGACGGCCACAGAAGCTTGTTACTTATGCTGAGCCCCTGCCTCAGGCCCTGGCCTGGCCATCATGGACACCCACGCTGGTGATGACCAACCGTGGCCGCATCAGGGGTCGGGCCCTGAACCTAGGTTCCAGGGAGTGGGTGGGGCCGCTGTGTGGCCCGGGCAAGCCCTTCTCTCACTGGCTTTTGACTCCCTCTCCATCACTGCTTTTCTGCAGGGGACAGGGCACGGAACAGCCTTGCGGCCTCGCAAGTCGGGAACCCTGTGGTGGTGTCTTTCCAACGGGCACGGTCCTCCTAGAAGCAGTGGCACTCCCACGTGCCAGTAGCCGTCTCTGACTCCTGGGGCCGGGGCCTCTGGAGCCGTGGCCAGGGGGCCCGCAAGCCGTCAGCTGTGTGGAGCCCCTGGCCCCCGCCCACTTCCCCTGGCTGCCTGGGTTCCTGGCGGTGTCCTGTGGCCCTTGTGTGGTCAGAACTGTTGGGGGCAGTGGCGAGGGCTGACTGTCCCGCTTCTATGCCCCTGGTGCCCGCGGCAGGCAGAGGACGCACGGGTCTGGCACTCTGCATGTGCACATCTGTGGGATGGCCCCATGCCCCAAGCTGGAGGGACCCGACCTGGGGCCTCCAGCTCCTCAGGGCCCCCCTCACCACACACAGGGTCTTGCCTGACTCTGCTCACCCAGAGCAGGCCGAGCAGGCCGCCAGGGCTCTGCGCAGCCGGCAGCTTCTCCCCGATGCTGAGTGTGGCTGTGGCCCAGTTCTACTGGCCTCGTCCCTGCCAGTGACTCTCCTGGGCCCGGGGCAGCCCTGCTGTCCTGTGCATCGTCCCCTCCGAAGCCTCAGGAGGCCTCTTATGCTCCTGGGGTACTAGGGGGCTGACTCCACACACACCCCCTTGCTTTCTGCCATCAGGTGCCACCCAGCCTGCCCACCCAGCTCTTGCATCAGACATGGGCACCCGTGTCCCTTCCTTGGCTGCCCTGGGTGCAGCGCGTGGCCCCCACCCCTCCCACCCGCAGTGCCCCATCACCGCCCTGCTGTACCCTGGGCCAGCTACCTTGTCCCAGTCCACCGCTTTGAGCCTCGGCTCCACCTCAGGGTCCGGCTTCGGAGTTTCCGCGGAGGCTGCGTCCCCATTCTCCACGGGCTCCTGGAAGGAGAAGGGACAAGGGGACTGTTTAGAGCAGGTGAGCAAAGAGAATGGAGCCCCAGCTGGGCACAGTGTGGCACACCAGAGGCCCAGTGTGCTAAGAGGCTGAGGCAGGAGGATCACAAGTTTGCGGCCAGCCTGGGCCACTTAGCAACCTAGCGAAACCCCGTCTCAAAGTAAAAAATAATAAAAGGACGGGGCATGTAGCTCAGTGCGGAGGCTCTGGGTTCAATCCCCAGTACTGAAAGAAGCGAGGTGGGGGGAGCGCCAAGCTGCCTCTGGCCGGGGAGCCAGGAACGGTGAGCGCCCAGGGGTAGAGCGAGGTGGGCGGAGACCAAGGACTCTGAGTGCTTTTGAAGCCGAGAGACACTGATGTGGGTGTCACTGTTCTTTGTACTTTTCTTTCCTATTAAAAGGAAAAACCTAGGAAAGAACGAACACAGGCGGGCACATTGGCGGGTGTGAGAGCAGTGAGTGGTGACAATCGGGGAAAGGGCTCCCGCGTCACACAGAGCAGGTCACAGGCTGGCACTGAGGGCGCCTGGTGGGGCGCCCTGTGCCACGCCCGACGGCTCCCTCACCTCATTCTATCCTCGGTCAGGCCACAGATTCCAGGGGCCACAGGCTGGGACTCCTAGGGCCACCGGACTCTCAGGAAAGAAGGGAGCCAGGGAGCCGCGGTGGGGGTGGGGTGGTTGGCAGAGGCGCGGCGGGGTGGGCTCAAGGTTAAGTAGAATGGTAAAGAGCAAAGTCAGAAGGACACAGAATGTGCTGGGAGCGTCACATGGCCCCGCCGGCTCTGATGTCACGTGGGCTGAGGCCAGGCGGGACAGCACCTGCCAAAGGCCTCCCCTCTGACTTCTGTCAGTAAAGAAACCGTGGAGCTGGCGGCCCTTGGAAGGTGGGTGCTGGCGAGACGCCAGCGACACGGTTTGAGCAGCCGGCTGGGGTTTCTGTTCTCATGGTGCTTACGTTTCTGTTTCCAAGTGAAGCCGAGGGAACCTGATGGTGACAGTGACTGCGTCCTTCCCTGGGAAAACCCGTACATAACCCACATAAAAATGGGCTTTCGTGGCTTGTCTTGGTCTGTGTATCTCAGGTACTTAATCTGCATCATCAAGCTAACCTGTGGATTTTTTTTAAAAGCATCTCCACTCTCTGAGGAGAGGGAAGAGTGGAATCACATCACTGTACACGGAAACTCCCTAAATACCCCGCACAGGCGCTCCCGTTTCCTGTCAGTCAGGAGCTCCACGATCTTGTTCCTGCCCACTCTATTTACTTGAGAACACCCTCCCCCTGAGCTCCTGAGCTGTCCTCCTTCTAGACATTTCTTTTCTTCTGGTCACCCCAAGTCCTTTCTTAGGGTGATTAACCCCAGCTGCACTCACAGCAACCTGGTCTTCCTCCCTCAACAGGACCGAGGGTGTCTCAGCCGGGAAGGGTTATCAGGCAGATCCTCGTTCAAGGCTTTTGCCTGCGTCATGCTCCTAGACATCTCAGGGTGCAGACTGGGATCTGATCTGGGCCTATGTACCCCACAACCACCGCTGGCAGAGGAGCAGGATTCCTCCTTCTGCTGACTCTTGTCCCTGAATCCCTCATACCCCCTGGCCACCCCGAGCTTCTGGGAGTCACTGCTCTCCTGACAGGCCTGTGTGAATCTGAGGACAGAAGTTATTACTTCTGTAGATAACTGCTACCGGCACGGCGGGAGGGCACCGCGGTCTATCAGCTGATCTGGACCAGAAGCCCTGTCCACTGGAGCTGGGACACCAGCATAATGACGAGTAGGAATCCAGGGACAGGGAAGAAACAGGAAGCCCGAGGCGTGGGATCCCGGAGGAGAGTTTTGTGGGGACCAAAAGTCTTGGCTCTATCAGCCTCCCTGCAAGGGCTGGCATCTCAGCGTCACACTCCGATGGCCCCATTCCTCCTCCAGTGCGTCCCTTAGCCCATCCACATCACTGCTCCCCTATTCCTTCAGCCACACACGTGTTGGTGCCCAAGTGCACCGGAAGCATCAACGAAGATGCAAGCCACTCTCTCTCTCGTTGCTCCGGAAGGGTGATTCCAATTTCCCGTGTCAGTCTGACCGGTAGCCCTGCTGCCACCTCTAACACCTTCCCCAAAGTGGACATAGGGTCATCCTCGGCAAATTTGCCTATCCGTGACTTCCCCATGTGGAAAGTCTTTCCCCTGTATTTCCAAACTCTTCACCTACTATAGCCTTGGAGTGATGCATTTCCCTGTAGCTGGAAGGGACACCTTACCTTCTAAATACATCTTACTTTTTTCTTCCTAAGCCTCACCTGCCAGGTTGAGGACAATGCTTACTCTACGCCTGGCCCTTTAATCTCCCTAACAACTGCATGGAGTAGGTATATTATTCCCATCCTACAGGGGGGACCCTAAGCATGGAGCAGTTCTACAGCCAGTGAGGAGCTGAGCCAGCAGCGGGACTGGAGGATTCTCTTTCCCATCATGCTGTTCTTCCCTAGCCTTCCTAGCCAGAGATCCCTTCATTTTCCAGTATGATTTTAAAAAATCAGACTGTTACGCATGTAAATACCCACTGCTTCAGTTGGTATTTATGATTCCTTGTCTCTGGTTGTTTTCAAACATTTTGGTAATTATCTTTCTTGTCTAATGGCATTATAGATCCAGTACATCAGGGACCTATGATTTGCTGTTTCCTGTTTCTTTAGCTGCCTAATCAGCTCTTGCAAACACTAGATGCTCTATCCACACATCCCCAGTGGGCCACATTTCAATGTGGGGTCAGAGCCAGGTGTGGTGGTACACGCCTGTAATCCCAGCACTCTGGGAGGCTGAGGCAGGAGGATCGTTGTGAGTTCAAGATCAGCCTGGGCTACATAGTGAGTTCAAGGCCAGCCTGAACTGCATAGCGAAACCCTGTCTCAAAAAGACAAAAAAAAAAGGATAACAACAACAAATATATAGGAAATACATATTTTCAGAATAAAAGGCCATTATAGCTGGGCATGGTGGTGCATGCCTGTAATCCCAGCACTTGGGACACTGAAGTAGGAGGATCACCATGAGTTTGAGCCAGCCTGGGCTACATAGTAAGTTCAAGGCTAGCTTGATCTATATAGTAAGACACTTATCAAAAAAAACCAAAATAAAAAAAATAAAATAAAGGCAGTTCTTCCCAAGGAAAGGCAGTTGGCAACTGTATACTGACATATTAAAAAACATTCTACTTAAAGATATTTCTTAATGCAGGAAGATGACACCATAAAGCTTTGTTTTATGAGCATTCCCTGTACGTGTCTCCTCGGCTCAAGCTGTTGACGTGGACTTTATAATCTATCTGTAACAGGAAGTAGAGCCAATGTTCACTTTGCCCCAGTGTGAAGACTTTACTCAAAAAATTACTGAAAATCGAGTTTCTCCCAGGTGTGGTGATGCATGCCTGGAATCCCAGCACCCGGGAGGCTGAGGCAGGAGGATCATTGCAAGTTGGAGACCAGCATGGGCTACAAAGTGAGTTCAAGGCCAGCCTGAAGTGCATAGCAAGATCCTGTCTCAAAAGACCAAAAAAGAAAAAAAAAAAAAATCTAGTTTCAGTATAAGTGGAAATAGAACTTTTAAGTCTTTTTCATTCCATTGGAGATATATTGAGGAAACCGCAGGACTCTGTGCCTCCTGCCTGGGAGCCGGGAGACAGGAGTGGGAGGTGCCCGAAATTCCTCACCCGTAGCAGAGCGGGATCCAGCACTGGCCTCTGAGGATGAGGAAAAGGCGGACAAAGGGGAGTGGAACAGCGGTGTGTGTGTGTGTGTGTGTGTGTGTGTGTGTGTGTGTGTGTGTATGTGTGTCACTGTCTCCCTGCTGTCTGCCGCCCTGGCCAAATCACCGCCAGGTGCCTGGGCCCAACCCGGAGCAGCGTCACTAGTGATATGCTTTTGACAAATGAACCCTGGAGTAAGCAGAAGCAGGTGCTTTGCTGGTGGCCTCTTGATGGCCTTACAGGACCACACCCCTCCTTGGCACGTGACTGAACACACTCCCAGTGCGGAAGGAGACTCCAAGGAGAGCCAGAGCCAGCGGTAGGTTTGTGTCACCTGCACCCAAACCTTCTCTGGGACAAGCACGTGTCCTCCAGTGCACGTCTCACTGACTAATTCTCTCTGGTCTAGGTGTGAGATTCCAGGGGCTCCAAAAGCCTTCTCCTCCTGAGCCAAGCGTGGTGGGGCACACCTGTAATCCCAGCACTCGGGAGGCTGAGGCAGGAAGATTGCAGCAAGTTCAAGGCCAGCACAGGTTACATAGTGAATACAGAACACAGACCCTATCTCAACAAACAACAAACAAAACAAAAAGACCTCTCTACACACACGTGAGTGGCTGCAGGAACCGTCTCAACAGGAGCAGCTGCAGCACACCCACCCATGCAGAGCTGGACCTTGTTTTCCAGGTGTCCATGCCCGGGGTTTGGTTTCTCATTGAACTGGGTTCACCCTTGCATTCTGCAGGTGAATATCATCCATGAATCATAAGTGTGTAAAGGTCACTCCAAGGAACTAGGGAACCCTAACCTTAAAAGGCTTTCAACAAAAGTTTCTTGGAAATTTCCACAATGCATTATTTAAAAGACTGTCTGGATGGGAGTCAAAGGGATCTTTTAAAAAAAAATATCAAAAAGAAAAGAAAAATAACAAAAAGAATCCCAAAGCAAAGGAAACACGTGCGCGCTTCCAGCACCGGGAAATTGTCTGAGGGACACCTCTGGATTGGATAAATTTCAGTATCTGGTGAGGGTGGTGAGTAATTTGTGATCAGATTTATATTGGCTTTTACCAGAATGATTAACACAGATGTCAATGAGTAAGCCTCGCAGGAGTGTCTGACCCACCTGTGTCAGGTGACACCTTCCTCACAGGGTCCGCCTGAGTGATAGGAGACAGTCCCAGGGCAAGCAGAAGGGTGCCGGAAGCCAGAAGCAGTGGTCCATGCCTGTAATCCTAGCACTC